CAGTTTCTCTGTCTCTTTCTTCTTTTTCTTCTTTTTTATTAGTTAATGTAATATAGTGTTATCGTCCGGGCAGAACTATTATTCCAGCCACCAAAGATAGATTCACAAATAACCTGCCTGATTTATCTCAACTGCTCTGTGTACCCATAAGTACACATGAACTAGACGAAATGACTAGCAACATGGGCACTATCTTCTCTAATACATTAGAAGCTGTTGCCCCCATCAAATTGAAAAAGGTTAGAGAAAAACGTACTGCGCCATGGTACAACAGTAATACCCATTCTCTCAAGAAAGAAACTCGTAGTCTTGAGAGCAAATGGAGAAAAACTAACTTGGACGTTTTTAGAATTGGGTGGAAAAAACAGTATGTCCAGCTATAGACAGGTTCTAAAAGCTGCCAGGGCCGAAAATATCCACAAACTCATAGAAAATAACCAAAACAATCCAAGGTTTTTATTTAGCACAGTGGCTAGATTAACAAATAACCAAATGCCACCCGATCTAAATATTCCCTCACAGTTTAACCCTCAATCTGTCCTTTGGGGTCAATATGACCCCAATCAACATTTCCTTAGTTTAAATAATGGTTCCCTTCATCTCAGCGGAATGAGATTTTGTAACTTTTTTACATTATCTATCTATATTCACATGAAAAAACTGGGCTTGATTCGGTTGTTCTGAAGGTATGTAAAAATAATGTTTACAAATCTTGTCTTTGAAACATTGAAATGAATGGGAAATGCGAAAAAAAATGTATATTTTTTTTCGATTGTCAAAAAAAATCAATTAATCCGGAATAAATCTGAAAATTTTCACACCGAAATGAAGGCCTGGTAGTACAGCACAAATGCAATGTAGAAAAGACATGCTCACACACACACACACACACACACACACACACGTATGACTGCCACAGAAAGCATTTGTATAGAATTTGGCAAATATAATCAGTACTAAATGCAGAACAAAAATATAGAGGGGTGAGACCTAATGCACGCACACACACACACACACACACTCTTACACTCTCACTCTCACACACTCTCTCACACACACAGGTATGATTGCCACAGAATGTGATTGTAATTTTTTTATTGTTGTTATTTGATGTTCACTCTTCACTCCTGTTGATTTCTGCATATTGCTGTTGGCTTTATTTACATATTATTTAATTTCATCTATATTCTAAAGTTAATTATTGTTTTTTTACACTTTAATCACTACCGTAAAATCAACAATATATAACTACATTCTGACTCTAAGTCTTGTCCTTTAGGTGTGTCTTATGTGGCAATTTTCTGTAAAATTTCTGTGGTATTTTGTAAAAACACATTTCAAAATGCATCAAAAACTACAAAAAATTCTACTGTTTGAAAGAATATTTATTTTTAATGTCTTTTCTAATGTTTATATATACATAAATTCACAAAATGTATCACAAAAGTTGTGATAAGAGCAGTTGGCCACATCCAGTAAAATGAATGGCTCTCTATGGCCCTCTGCTGGTCAAAACAATTTATTTCCTAAACTGTAATAATTTTAGGTTTATCTCTAACCAATAGATGCCAGAATTCTATACCTAAAACCTAGATCAATATCCAGAAACAACTTAAATTAAATTTAGATCATCATTTAAGTGATTTTTTCATAAAAATTTAATATTTCACATGCAAGCTTATGGTGTAGTTGCGGAATTCTGTGGTAAATAGGAACAAAAGTACTTAATATCTCCCAAAACACAGCATTCATGTATAGATGAGATGTAAATTTTAAAAAAAGTGTGGTAAATAGGAACAAAAGTACTTCATATCTCCAAAAACACAGCATTAATGTATAGATGAGAAGTAAACAAAAAATATATATATATTATTTGTATGATTAAAAAGTTATATATTTTTTACAATAACTCTTTCAATTTTGGGGTCATATTGACCCCAAAGACCATAAGTGTAAACATTAAATGAGGACCATTTGACGGTTAATAGTAATGACTTTATGAATTTTTTCACTGATAAAATAGATAACATCAGAAATACAATAACAAATGTAGATTCTACAGCGTCTAATACTTCAGCTTCATTCATCGCACCAAAAGATAAACTGCAGTGCTTTACAACTATAGGACAGGAAAGGCTAAATAAACTTATCACAACATCTAAACCAACAACATGCCTGTTAGATCCTGTACCCACTAAATTACTGAAAGAGATGTTACCTGTAGCAGAAGAACCGCTTCTTAATTTTATTAACTCATCGTTGTCTTTAGGTCACGTCCCAAAACCATTCAAGCTGGCGGTTATTAAGCCTCTTATTAAGAAACCACAACTAGATCCTAGTGAACTGGCAAATTACAGACCCATTTAAAACCTTCAGTTTGTCTAAAATTTTAGAAAAAGTTGTGTCTGCTCAAATGTGCTCCTTCCTGCAAAAAAAAGATCTCTATGAAGAATTTCAGTCAGGTTTCAGACCCCACCATAGCACAGAAACTGCACTTGTTAAAATTACAAATGACTTGTTCTTGCATCAGACCAAGACCATCAGATCATCTCATTTCTAGTTTTACTTGATCTTAGTGCTGCGTTCGACACTATAGATCATGACATACTTATAGATCGATTACAAAACTATACAGGTATTCAAGGACAGGCTTTAAGATGGTTTAGATCCTACCTGTCCAATCGCTACCACTTTGTTCATTTAAATGGGGAGTCATCTCAATTATCACCAGTAAAATATGGAGTGCCACAAGGATCTGTCCTAGGTCCTCTGCTATTTTCGATATACATGTTGCCCCTTGGTAATATTATTAGAAAATACGGGATTAGCTTCCACTGTTATGCAGATGATACTCAACTATATATCTCAACAAGACCAGATGAAACTTCTAAATTATCTAAGCTAACAGAATGTGTTAAAAATGTAAAAGACTGGATGACCAATAATTTTCTCCTATTAAACTCGGATAAGACAGAGATATTACTTATTGGACCAAAAGACAGTACACAGAATCTCGTGGATTACAATTTGCAACTAGACGGATGTACGGTTACTTCCTCTACAGTCAAAAATCTGGGTGTTATATTAGATAGCAACTATACAAATAAACTTGAATTGAATTTAATTGAATTTTATCTTTTATCTCTTATGTCTGATTTGGCATTACCCTTAACTTTACAATCAATAATCAAGTAAGCTGAGCAGAGATTATCACATATCTGAATATTGTGATATGATATGCAATGACTAATGTGGATATCATTTCTTTCATATGAGGCTGTGTTTAATAGAATGATGTAAGTACTTTTGTAAGTTCTTGTGTTTATTCAGCAAGTTTCATGCTGATGAAGAAAACTGAGAAGCTAAAGATGACAAAGGTGTGTCTGTTTTGAGGTAAAGAGGTATTGTCTTATTCTTCCAGATAGATGAAGAGCTCCATGTCATCTTCACGTAACAAATGACACTTTGTTACACTGAATTTCAGAAGTATCCTAATGGACGGTTGCATCAGTTGTTTACCACCAAATTTCCGTCAGGAGCCAATGGCGAGTTGCATCATTGCCAATCGCTGTTTATGATGAAGACTTGCTACTACATGTTTTCTGAACGAATCCCACCATCCAGACTCATTCTTCACAAAGCCAGTAAATATGTGAAGATGTTAGCATGTTATGTGTTTTATAATCTCAATAATATGCAAATGTTTATTCTCTAAGAGAACTGTTCAGACCTCACATTTCCATATTGGCCTTTAGTCTCCAGAACGCTTGGCTCTGATTGGCTCCTTGAGCTCCCGGCAGTGTTGAATCATGGGAGTGAAAGTGTCGTCTGTGTCTTCAGTTTAAAGTGAGCTGTGGGTCCCATCACAGACTTCATATGAGCTCTTGCAGCTGAAGAGCATCTTTGAGACCACAGGAACTCATGAAAGGTAAGAGATACTGCTTTTAATAACTGCTGACAAGACTGTCTGTGTTTAGCTTTAATGACGGAATAAATGACACAACAGACACATTAAGAGTTCAGCTGTGCAGAAACTATAGACGAACTTGAATTAATGAAACTGTATTGTTCTGTAGAGCTGCTTTACAGTTAATTTTGAAGTTGTAATGATATTTAAAATGACAGATTCCTGAAACTGAAGAAATTTGTGACACTGATGCTGTTTATTTCTGTGCAGCTGCTTTTAGACAATCTGTAATGTATGAAGTGCTATAAACGTGCCTTGACATATATACTATATATACTATATTTCACTATATGTCAATGTCACTTTATTTATAAAGCACTATTTAAAACAACAGCTGTTGACCAATGTGCTGTACATAAACATTAAGCAATAGTTTCCAAAAAATAAAATAAAGAATAAAAATAAATGCATGCAAATTATAACATGACACTATGTCATTTGTTAAAAGCCATTTCAAGCCATTTCAAAGCCTATAATCAACATATACAGTATGCGATTTATAGTCACATAAGAATGTGTTTTATATAGTTTTTCATGCATTATAATTATTATACTGTTTTAAGTTTCTCACTGAATAGAAGATGCTTGTTTTCATATTTCAAACAAAGATATTCTTCTGAAATCAGTGTCATGAAAAACACAGGTGAATTTTTGCATCATGCCCTGCTGTAATGAATGAACCGTAACAATTATGTTTTTCCTAGTCAAGACTTTAAAGTTTGACTGAGGAATATACATTTTTGAAATGAGTGTAGAAAATGAATATTCTTCAAAAGAAGAAATTCAGAAAGCCTGCTATTGCATTATGAAAGTGTATGACGTGATGTCCATGTAGATGAATTTGAGCTTCAGTTACTAAATCCCAGCCGTACTGAACAGACTTCGATCAGCAGAAGTGGTGAAATCCCCTGATGATGGTTATCTTCAGGACTTTTCTACTGTTAGAGACAGTGATGTGATTCTGAATGAAGCACAATGCAAGAGTTGGGTTGCATTTGATACCTGTTTGTGTGTTTCAGCCGTTGAGAGGACGATGGCAATCCTGCAGCTCTTCAGACTCATCAACTCGTCTCTGCTCCTCAGCCAGCGGCCTCTGAACGCCTCGGCCGAGCAGACGGTGTACAGCAGCTGTGCAGACATGCCCGCTGTGCTCATCTTCTACCTGGTGCTGCAGCTCATCAACATGTTCCTGGGCATCCCGGCCAATATCATGGTCCTGTGGCTTATTCGTAATAACAAGGGCGACTCGTCCACCTCAGACATCTTCATCGTCCACCTGGCCGTGCTGGACGCTTTCTTCTGCCTCATTCCTCCGCTGGAGCTGGCCAACATCGTCTACCTGAGCACCAGCAGCACCTGGTACGTCCTGCGCTTCTTCTACGGCGTCAAAGACTCGTCGCCACTCTTTCTGTCCTGCATCTGTCTGGACAGATATATGGCCGTGCGGCATCCCATCACCTTCACTGAGCTCAAGGACAAGCAGCATCGCTCCGTCTGCGCCGCCGGCGTCTGGCTCCTCACTTTGGTCTACGCCGCAGCCAAGTGTGTGGGAAACATCCCCAACTTCGACAAGGTGTTCACCGTCATGATCCTGGCGGCGTTCGCGTTCATGCTCTTCTGTAACGTCTCCATTCTCTGGGCTCTGAGACAGTCGGCTCCAGGTCGAGACGAGAGACACCCGGTCAAGAAGAAGGCCTTCAAGATGGTCCTCATCATCTTGGCCATCATTGTGTTTAACTACTTCCCGCCAGTGGCTCTCTTTCCCTTTCGAGAGTATTTCTCTCCGGATGTCTTCCGCTGTTGTATCCACTACATCGCCTTTGGCTTCATGGACATCAGTAGCAGCATCCAGCCGGTTCTGTATCTGTCACGGGAGAAGCTGCCCAAAACCCTGCACTGCTGCTTGAAAAACACTGAACGAAGCGCTGATCCCGTTTACACCGTCAGTCGGTGAGGATTTCACTTGATTGTAGCTGAGCCGCTGCATGCACACAATAATGTAGGTTTGTGCACATCTATAAACAGTTTTAAAGCTGGTGTTAAGAACTATATTTTGTCATTAGCCTGGGCTAGATTGTGTGTATTTTAATTGATCCATTTTTGGGTTATCTTGGTTTACGTTTTTATGTATTTGTATGTTGATAGTACAGCACTTTGGTCTGCATGTGCAGTTGTAAAGCGCTTTATAAATAAATAAATAAATGCTTATCCTAAACCATGTGTAATGTAACTATATTAGAACCGTTAGACTCATTCTGACAGGTATCTGCAGCTGATTTATGTTTAAGCAGAAGCACCAACCTGCTGACAACTGCATATTTTGTGCACATAAAATGTTGTTAATTACTATATTACATATTTACTTGTAGTGGATTTTAGTTTTCACTTAATTAAGTGCATTTGTTTTCTGTAAATTCTGGATTATCCTGCAGTTTATTCAAGACAGCTGTAACATAGACTGTATGAAACAAGTTGACTAGAGAACATCAAACTAGAGAGAGAGCATTTGAAAAAAATGTAAGAATTAACTATTTTTTTTTGTGATACAATAAAATGTTTTTATAAGTAGAAGTCCCGTTATTAGCATGTGAGAAATGTAAAGAAGTCAGCTTTATTCTGTTAATTATGCAGTCATCCGGTCACATGTTCAGCGCAGAACGCTTTGTCATACATTCACTAATGCACACCTGTGGTCCGTCTCACAGCTGCCTGAAATAGTCTTAGTCATCTAACAGGTTAGTCTAACTTTGTAAGTGAATTAACATAGTGGCTGTTTATGAGTCCTGAAGTGATCTGGAGTCACTGCCATTACACGAGTGAACACTAGAGAGCACTGCATGACCACCAGAGTGGCTTATGTAAAGCATTTGAAATATAGTATGAAAAATCTATTTTAGAAAAGAAAATGTTTGACACTTTAGACCACAGGGGCCAGTTTTTCAAAAAGTTTAATCTGGATCAATATGATCTGGATTTGGACATCCCATGTTTTGCTATCCAGGATCAGGTAACCCATTTTAATTTTGTGCTGGTTTTTCAAAGCAAAATTGGATTGGATCACCCTGATCCAGATACACATTTTTTCAGATTTCCAAATCTGGATTACTAGTTCTCTACGGAGCCTCTAAAGGGACATGGTGATGGAAAAAATGTCAATGTTTTGCATTCTAGTTTTGCATTGCATTTACACAAATAACTACTTCTGACTGGTCCATCTCTGATGATTGTGCCAATTACAATTAGTGATTAAAAAAAACTTTAAATTAAATATATTTTTGTTTGATATTGACAGCTATTTGGGGATATATTACATGTTGAAATTTGTGATGTACTGGTATTTGTTTACCACTAGCGCATGCTGATGACGTTGCGTTAACGTGTGTCGCAGCCGTCGCAGCATACAATTCAATAGGTGTCATCATCGTACAGTCTACATGCTTGTCGTACCCAAGTTTAAACGATCCATGTCGCACAGTGTGATAAAGTAATGATCTTATAGGATTGCTAAAATCATGCAGTGTATCCCGGGTTTTAGACAAAACTCTCCTTTGTTTATTTACAGAAGATCAAATAATATAACAAATAGACTTGTAAAATCTGATATTTATACTGACAAGACTAAAAGGTTCATAAAAGGTTGTTTCACCTTGTATGAACTGTTCCGTTTGCTCATCAATAATTAAAACCAATCAATTCAGTGACATACATTCTGAAATAATGTTCTTTATTAAATCACTAATTACCTGTTCCACATCTAATGTGATTTATATGTTAAAATGTCTGTGTCCATTTATTTACATCGGAAAAACCAGTCTCCAGCTAAATATTTGCATTAGTGAACATAAATCTGCTATCAGGAGACGTGATGTGAATTCACCAATAGCAAGACATTTTCATGACTGTAATCATGACATTAAGGATTAAAGTTGTATAGGTATCGAAAAAGTAACAATTTCTAAAAGAGGTGGTAACAGAGGAAAAACTTTTACAACAAGAAGCTTATTGGATGTATCGATTAAAAAGCTGGTCTCCCTTGGTTTTAGAACTTTTTTGTTTTCTTTAAGTATAATAAAGTTGTTTAACACATTGTTTGGTTATAGTGGGCTATAGAATACAGACTAATGAACGGCTTCTGGTCTGATGCGTCAGCTCGTTCCCCACTTTCATTCATATTAGTGTTTTGACAAATTCTTTAGTGAATTTTTGATGGATTATTTGTAATGTATGTTTTCTTTTCTTTTTTGGTGCTTGTATTGTTATTTTAATGTGAGTGTTCTGGAATTATTTTTGGTTCTTTGTCCTGAAATTGCTCGATTGTTCAATTGAGTTTGTGATCAGTAACACCTGTTATGTGGCTTTCTACCTGGTGATTATTGGACTGCACTTGTTTTATTTTTTTAGTTCTTGTGAAACGTCACTATATGATTCACTGAAGAAGGCTTGCTGCCGAAACATCTGACTGTCGATTGCTCTGTTGCAAAATTAAAATAAATCAAAAGTTATTAAGAAGATAGAGCGAGTGCGGATCCCTTACTTGAAAGTGGTGTTACTTATTGATCTACGCACCCAAAACTGAAGTTGAGCGCAGTGATTTAAATTTTTTCGTTAGACAAAACTTTAAAAAATCTTTTGTTTTTTTTTTGAGCATCAGATAAATAAGGTTTTTATAGCACATATAGTCTGACAAAGTAAGAATATGGAGGAAAAACAGCTCAATTTTATTCCGAGACTCAAACTGAACAAAAATGAGATCTTTATAAAAGAACAGCAGATACTTACATAAAACGATCTAAATATCATTTGTCACTCTATATCTCCAGTAATCTGTCTCAGTGAGATGAGATTGAAAATTTGACAGCAGAAAGACACGTGAAGCTCGAGCTGAAGCTGGACACTTGTGCAATTACACTAAAAGAGCTTTGACTGGATTAAACACTCTAAACTATCAATCAGACGACAGAAGACATGAGGGGATTGAGTGAGACAGCAAATTTTGATCATTCCTTATACACTCATGCTCAAATATGATACAGCAGCTTTATGGGGTTAATATGACTGAGCTTAATGAACAGTGACAGATCTTACAGTCTTCAGTAATGATCACAAACTCAGTTCCTGGATGGCCACAGCTCCAACTCACACCTGCTTGGAAGTTTACAGTAATCCTGCAGACCTTGCTCATCTGGATCAAGTGCGTTTAATTAGAGTTGGAGCTAAACTGCGCAGAGTCCAGGAATTGGGTTTGAGACCAATGCTTTAGCCATTTGATGTCAGTGCAAGTCAAAATGATATTTTCAGTCACAGGAACCATCATTAGCCCAACGGATTCCACATGTTTATTGTATGAAGTGATGCTGAGGAAGGTAAAGACGAATGCAGAGGTGTTACTGGTGGTGCAGCTTCAGGTGTTTCTTCAGAGACGACTGGTCGCTGTACCTGTGGTCGCAGAGCGGTACAGGTGTCCGGCGCGGCTGAAGCTCTTCCTGCACTGACCGCAGACGTGAGACCTGACCTCGCGCTCGAAGCTCCAGGAGTAGCTTGGTCTGGAGTCTGGAGACAGCATCGTGTGAAACGAGCTGGAAAACCCCTCGTCGGACAGACCGCCTGGACTGGACTCTTCATCGGAGAAGGTATCGTGTTTGTCTGTCACTACCCTTACTTTAACGTCACACTCGTTAGAGCTGACGTCCGGCTCTAAAGCACATTTAAGAATGGCGTGACGTTCAGAATCCTCTGATTTGAGTTCTTTACTGCTGTGTTTAGGAGAAGCCTGAGGATTTTACAGGTCGACAGCACATCCGTCCTCCGTGTCTGGGTCGGCCTTCACCGATAAATATGGTGTTGTTGCACGATTCCTGTTTAAGTGGAGCGACGTGGTGTCTGTGGCTTGTGATTTTACGCGGCTGCTAAGTAAATCTCCAGCCGTCTTGGTCTGATCGTTGTATTCGCTCGTCTGAGCAGATGAAGTCTGGCTAAAAGTGTTTCTTGAAAAGTCAAGCTGAGCCACAACACGGTCTTCATCTTCTGCAAAACACACAGAAACATCTCGTGACTGGCCAACATATGTCCAAAAACAGACTTATCTCCAAAGAGTTAACTCTTGCAGAGGAATAAAGCAGAGTAACCGGCTGAGATACATAATAGATGATAACAGACAGCAGCTGCTTGGTTTTGTGTGATGGTTCTGAATCCTCCTGACAACTTTACAAGAAACTAATATTTCACCCCTTGCCTCGCGTTATGTTGTTTACATTTACTTGTATATCTTGTAAGTGTTTGTGTGTGTGTGTGAGTGAGTGAGTGAGTGTGTCTGTGTATGAGAGTGTGTCTGTGTGAGAGAGAGAGTGAGTGTGTGTGTGTGTGTGTGTGTGTGTGGTGTGTGTGAGTGTGTGTGTGTGTGTGTGTGTGTGTGGACGGATGATTAATGTTTGATGGACAAGTACCAGTTTTACCTGCTGCCAGAGGAATGTCCGTCAGGTGGGCGGGGCTCTCGGGTGTGTTTCCGCTTTTGCCATCATCAGCCAATCGTATGATCATTCTCCTGTAGACGCGCATCTGTTTTAATTCATAATATTTGACAGATTTATCGCTGAAATGAGCTGGTGAGTGAAATGAATTGTCCAAGTCTGAATGAGCGCGTTTGTTTCGCGTTGACTGTCATTTGAACCGAAGCTGTAGCTGCAAAATGTGAAAAATGCTGTCGGACTTGTTTGTGAAGGATTTTCTGAGAACGAGCGTCACATCAAGCACGTATTTAATTCATTCATTTTATAAAGATGAAGCTGACAGAGACTCGGCGATTTAGTGTGATGTATTTGTTTTATTCATTTGCTGTGTAGCCTCATTACAAACGCTTTTCAAATAATGCACCATTTCTTTCATTTGGTAGACTGTCCATCTAACTGATGAACTTAAGTGTTTTGTTATTGTTTAAAGTTTAAACACAGATGATCAGATGAAGATTAAACTGTTGTAATGACATAAGACAAGTGCTCATGTTGTCTTCAGCACAGGAAGTGTGAGGTGATGTGAGGAGCAGCAGGAAGTGATGTGCTGATCTGTGATCTATTACTGTTAGAAGGTCAGTTCATGTTTCATCTCAGTGTCTGTGTGTCAGACTGTGTTTATCTGCTCTAGTGGTGATGATTAGCCTGTAGTGATTCTGACTGAGCTTCTCTGTCTAACAGTGTCTGTCTTTATCTGGCCCAGCTCTCTCTCTCTCTCTCTCTCTCTCTGTGTCTCTCTCACTCTCTCAATTCAATTCAGTTCAATTCAGTTCAATTCAATTCACTGTAAGTGTGCTTTTTTGGCATGACAAAAACTATACATGTGTACTGCATTGTATAGCAATTGCAGTTGGGCTGCTTACAAATAGTGCACATATAATAATAATAATAATAATAATAATAATTCATTACATTTATATAGTGCTTTTCTAGGCACTCAAAGTGCTTTACATTGTCAGGGGGTATCTCCTCATCCACCACCAGTGTGCAGCATCTACCTGGATGATGCGACGGCAGCCATAGTGCGCCAGAACGCCCACCACACACCAGCTTATTGGTGAAGAGGAGACAGAGTGATGAAGCCAATCAGCAGATATATGGGGATTGTTAGGAGGCCATGATGATCAGAGGCCAATGGGCAAATTTGGCCAGGATGCCGAGGTCACACCTCTACTCTTTACGAAAGACATCCTGGGATTTTTAATGACCACAGAGAGTCAAGACCTCAGTTTGACGTCTCATCCGAAAGACGGTGCTTTTTGACAGTACAGTGTCCCCGTCACTACACTGGGGCATTAGGACCCACACAGACCACAGGGTGAGCACCCCCTGCTGGCCTCACTAACACCTCTTCCAGCAGCAACCTAGTTTTCCCAGGAGGTCTCCCATCCAGGTACTGACCAGGCTCAGCCCTGCTTAGCTTCAGTGGGTAACCAGTCTTGGGCTGCAGGGTGATATGGCTGTGGTACAGATATAACTGTATATAAATATTAGTGAAAGTTGTGAGAACATTCTGTTAGCTGGGATTGCACCATGTTTGATATCATTGATGCCAAGTAATAATAATAATATATAAAAAATATTAAGCATGTAGTGCAAAATGAATTAATAATATAAGTATATAAACTAGAAATAAAAAATAAAATAAGATAAGGGATAAGACAGATTTACAGAAGCAAAATATACATCTAAATAATATAATACAGTAATATGGCATAATATAATATAGATGCGCTGGAAACATCAGATCAGACGCATGTTGAGCAGCAAACACACAGCAGTTCTTGTGTTCTCCTAACAGATACGGCAGTTTCTCATGGTTTGAAAGAGTTTTAAATGTCTGATGGATCTGCTGTATTTTATCATAGAACACTGTCCGTATATCTGTGTATTTGGAGCATTCTGTTAGGAAGTGCAGTTCTGTTTCCATCTGATTCAGATCACAGTGTGAACACAGTCTCTGCTCCGGTGGCAGCCATGTTTTTCTGTGTCTGCCCGTCTCTATCATCAGCTTGTGTCCGCTGAGTCTGTATCTGGTCAACGTGCTTCTCAGTTTCTTATCTGACACTGTGTACAGATACTCTGCCATACTGTACTCTCTCTTTAGGGCCAAATAGCATTGCACTTTACTCTATAGTAATAATAATAATATATAAAAAATATTAAGCATGTAGTGCAAAATGAATTAATAATATAAGTATATAAACTAGAAATAAAAAATAAAATAAGATAAGGGATAAGACAGATTTACAGAAGCAAAATATACATCTAAATAATATAATACAGTAATATGGCATAATATAATCTGCATGTGCTGGAAACATCAGATCAGGTAGTGCCTAATGTAAATTCAGCATAGCGTTAGTTCAGGCAGACCACGTCAGTCAAGCTCCCATCAGCTGACAGTCAGCTGTTCCTGACGTGTACCAATCCAGTCTTGACACCTATCACAAGCGGTCTATTTAAATTCCCATTCTTCAGCGTCTCTTCCATCGCATCACTGCTTGCAATTAACTTCCTCCTCCAACCCCAACTCCACCTAACTGAACCTGTAATTCAATTTGACTTTTGTTTCTTCCTTTACAGTCACTTCATTGGAAGCATTCTCTATCACTATAATTGTAATAAATATACTTGACGAAAGTGGTCCTGATTGAAATGTGTGTTTTGTTCCCTGGGATCAGGATCTTTTCTGAAAGATCATAATTTTGGTTTTATTCAGGTTGACTGTCAGGGCTGACTGTTGACTGTCTCTCTCTCTCTCTCTCTCTCTCTCTCTCTCTGTGTCTCTCTTTCTTTCTCTGAGTGTGCGGAGCGTGGTGAGTGTGGGTGAGAGTGGTATTTGTCTGTGGCTGGTAAGAGGGTTTTTTCAAACCTTTTTCCTTCTAAGTGTTTTGTTTTGTGTTTTTCCTTCTTTTTTTTCCATTGTATCTTTTGGGAGGATAGTCTGTGTGACGAGAGTGGTGGGGCCGAGAGCCGTGGGAATGGAGCGAGGCCGGTGGAGTAATTATGTTTGCCGGTTCCCGCCTCCTTCTTCCCGAACTACCAACGTTGCTACAGTCTGCTTCCAGCACTTTGCTGGAAAGCATGACGACTCCAAACACGATGGTTTTTGAAAGTTTAACTCGGTGTCATGGAGTTAAAATAGATTCTAATGTTAGCGTGGAGGATGTATGTTTGGCGGTAGGAGATGTTGTGAGTCATGAAAACATTGTGTCAGCTTCGCGAATGATTAATCTGATTGTGCTTTTTTTAGCACTATTGAGAAGGCTAATGACATAGTGCAAAATGGTGTTGTAATTAAGGGTTCACTGACGCCGGTGTTTCCTTTGAGTACTCCCGCCAAGAAAATAGTACTTTCAAATGTCCCTCCTTTTGTGAAAGATGATGTTATCGTGCAAGAATTGTCACGATATGGAAGAATAGTCTCTACCATCAAAAAAATTCAGCTCGGACGTAAATCGCCTTTAGTGAAACATCTTTTGTCTTTTAGGAGACAGGTGTTTATGATTCTGATGATCTGGTTTTTAAATTTAAAATAGATGGTTCTGATTATGCTATCTTTGCATTGTCTGATACGACGATCAAATGTTTTGGTTGTAAAAAAATCGGGCATCTTATTCGTAGTTGCCCTGATAAAGGAAACAAGAACACAGAGCATGTTGATGCGGATAAAGCGAGGAGCGCTGTCGCTGAAACTAGTGCATCCGCGGCTGCCTCGCTGGAGGTGGGAAATAGTGCAGCTGCGATTGTATTGCTAGAAGAGCTGGTTGAGGGAGAAAGCAGCGCAGAAACAGTGATGTCTGATTCTCCTTTTGTTGATGGAGGTGTTGTGGTGGAGCCTGTAGTGGCAGAGACCATAGCTGGATTGAGTAAAACGATATCTTCCGCATTTGTAGAACAAGACAGAGAAAAGGGAAATAAAGACTTGAGATTGAATGATTGTGAATTGAACATGGAGGTTGAATCGATCTTCAAAATTCAAATTAAAAGAAAAAGAAATCGAAACGATAAAACCAATAAACAAGTCAAAAAAAGTGATGGTGAAGATGAAATCATAGCTTTGGATGATGATGAATCTGATTCTAGTGCTTCGGTGTGTTCAGAGGTTTCTGCTTGTTCTCAAAATGAGAATGTAAATGTTGTGTACAAAGCTGAGGACATTAGTGTTTTTCTTCAGGAAACAAAAGGG